CATGCATAGCTAAATTTAGCATCCATTTGGGTAAGTAAGTTATTCATTGGGCCTGAAACGGGCCATATGTGTTGTTGGTCCTAAGCACTGGATTCAGGAACACTCTAGTTGTCTTGTGAGCCTTTGGTTTGGGCCTGCTATTTTTCCAGAAAGTAAGACTATTGGAGGCCTGGGATATACCTGGGTTACTTTTGCATTGGGCCTGTAATTGCATTAGTGGGCTTGTATTCGTTTCAGCCTGTATTTTGTCATTTTCAAGTCTGTATTATTTCATTATTGGACCTGTAATTACTTGTAATAACAAATAATTGGGGCGCTAATGAAATTGGAGAAACGGGTATATTCTAATATTTGCATAAAAGGGTAGAAAACATGCCTATAGGGTCTGTGTGGTCTATTTGATATCTTGTTCAGCATGCCTTATATGTTTTTTAATCTGATGTGTTGTACACTAATAGATAACATGCCTATAGCAATCACGCACACACTTCGCTTCACTTATCAAAATACGCTACACTTGTTTCCATGTCTACTATTCAACGCTCTTAGATAACATGCCTATAGCAATCACGCACACACTTCGCTTCACTTATCAAAATACGCTACACTTGTTTCCATGTCTACTATTCAACGCTCTTAGATAACATGCCTATAGCAATCACGCACACACTTCGCTTCACTTATCAAAATACGCTACACTTGTTTCCATGTCTACTATTCAACGCTCTTAGATAACATGCCTATAGGATACAACAATGCAACACATTTGCCTATCTAAATACCATAACTATAGGGTCTTAACTAATTAATCAATTGCTTTATGCTGTTTTAGTATTGCTTCACTTGGATAGCATGCCTATAGGGATCAAGTATTATAAAATCAAGTTCAATTGTCAATGGTTAGGAATCATGCCCATAGGATGTTTATTAACGCTGCTAATCCTGTGTTTTTCAAATGACTTCACTGCATTATTATGCGGCTATTAGAGATCATGCCTATAGGGACTGTCACATACCTAAGACGCATATCTATAAACCAACATTAGTAATCTAGAACTATGGGATTGTTTTCACTACCTTATTACGCAAAACGATTAGATATCATGTCTATAGGACTTGCAACGCTCTAATTTGCCTATACATTAGTCCAGAAATTACAGCACTGCCTGTATAATACTGGAGTCATATAGAAGTCATGCCTATAGGACTTAGTCATTCTAACGCGACTTAATTCTGTCTACTACCTAATCAGAAATCTGTTTGCGTGCTTTCCTGCTTATGTGTGGAGGTTACTTGAGCCTTTTATTGCAATTATATGTAGTCCTATCTATTTTTTGATTGTCGCCTAGTTTTATCATTTTGAACAACCTAAGTAAAGTCTAGAACCACCTTATAGTAGGTCCAAAGCCTCCTGGACCATAGGCATAGGACGGGTAGTGCACGCATAGAGTATAATTTAGAATTGAATTAGAACGCCTTTAAGTAAACAACTATAATATAGTAATTGGGTAGCATGAGATGATAGCCTGTGCTCGCTGAATAATACGAGCAACCTCTATCTTAAGGGAGTTGCGAGCCCCCCCTTTTTTCGTTTATGTTATTCATGCTTAACATAGATCAGCGTAGTTTGTACCTACACAGTTGTTAAGACTTGTGCCGATTCTCCTATGTTTTAATAAGACTCTACAACTTATGAGTTTCCCTTCTACTTATTTGATCATCTAGCTTAACTACAGAATCCACATAGTCTAAAGTTTAGTCGGGACCCACAGTTGTAGACCTCGAAGAGTGCCTAACACTTTCTCTTTGAGGTAGTTTAAGCCCTTACCCGATCTTTGGTGATGCAGACTAGTCAAATCAGAGTTATCTGTAACTAGGTGCCCTAACGCACCTTAAAAATCGTTAGATGGCGACTCTTATCTTTTAATACATCCTTTAAAAAAGTTGTCACATGTCGAAATCCGCTTTCACGAGAAAACGGGGCACGACAGGCACGTGACTTGTCCGTGCAGCACGTGAGTTGTCCGTAAGGATCCACATATTGATATTATTGGCACGTGAGTTGTCCGTACGGATCCATATATTGATATTATTGACATGTGAGTTGTCTGTGTCGCATGTGAGTTGTCCGTGCAGATTCTATTGTTAGCACGTGAGTTGTCCGTGCAACATGTGAGTTGTCCGTGCAGTGCGTGAAACTTCTAGTTTCTTGATCATTTATCAGATTTACTTATTTTCTTTCCCCTACATGCCATAATACTGTTGAGCAGGGTATTTGAGAACCAATGCACATGCACACATGGATATTCGTAGCACGAAGCCTTATGAGATACCTTTAAATCTTATACTATGTTAATCAAAAAGGATAGAATTCGTATCACGAAGCCTTTTGATCTTATCTAGTTTATTAGAGCTTAAATTATTAAACCTGTTTTAGCTCATCTTAAATTTAAAGTTGCTGGAAATAATTTTGTTGTCGACTTGCCTAGTTCCATGTTAGGCGCCATCATGACAGGTTAGGTTTTGGGTTGTGACAAAGGCTATGTGAAGAAGGTGGATCAAAATTATTTTGTCAAAAAATTCAGGCCAGGGGGGAGAATTGTTAGGTGTTTGTCCTGATTTTCTTACCATATTTAGTTTTTCTATTTCTTGAAGGACAACATATTTACCATAATTGATTTTTCCTTTTACGAAAAGAGAAATATAATTATTCCATATTTGGCTAGTCCTTTTTCTTGGAGGAAAATATTTTTGACTTCTATAAATTAAGGATCCTTCCTTCTTATTCAGTAGCATCCGCAATATAGCCATAAGGGGTTTAAGAGTCTTGTATATGGGGAGAACTTTTTGGAACAAGTGTTAGTGTGCCACTTGTGTTTGTCTCTTCGTGAGGTTGTTCTCTCGATATCTTGTACTCTCTTTTATATAGTGAATTGCTCATCTCCACCGTGGATGAAGGTCAAATGACCGAACCATATTAAATATTTGTGTCTCTTTAGGTATATTTCTTCTTTGTTGTCTGATTTATCGTCGTTCATAGTTGATTTGTTATATTCCGCATGACACCTACTTATTTCGATACTAACAAGTGGTATTAGAGCGAGGTTCAAGACAGGTTCATCTTGGCGGGTTTAGTTCTAGCCGGAACTTATTTGATGGTAATCATGATTTTTGCATAAGAAATCTGACCAGAGTACTACTCACGTTGAGACAGACTTTGCGGTGGAGATTTGGAGATGCGACCTGTTGACGGTTATGTGAAGAAGGTGGATCAAATTTATTTTGTTAGAAAATCCAGGCCAAGGGGGAGAATTGTTAGGTGTTTGTCCTACTTTTCTTACCATATTTGATTTTTCTATCTCTTAAAGGAAAGGGCAACATATTTATCATAATTGATTTTTTTTTTCTTAGAAGGAAATTATAAATCTCTCATATTTGGCTAGTCCCTTTTCTTGGAGGAAAAGGTTTTGACTTCTATAAATTAAGGGTTCTTCCTTCTCATTCAGTAGCATCCACAATATAGCCTTATGGGGTTTGAGAGTCTTATTTAGGGGAAGAACTTTACGGGACAACTGTTAGTGTGTCACTTGTGTTTGCCTCTTTACGAGATTGTTATCACGATATTTTGCACTCTTTTTTATATAGTTAATTGCTCATCTCTATTTGTAGACGTAGGTCAATTGACCGAACCACGTTAAATATTTGTGTTTCTTTTGGTATATTTCTCTTTTGTTGTCTGATTTATCGTCATTCAAGGTTTACTTACTAGCTTCCGCATAACACCTGATTATTTTGATCCAAACAATCTCATCATATATGAAAATAATAGTTGAACAATGAATATCATAGCAACTTTCTGCTGACATATATCATTTTCTTATAGTGTTGTCAAAATAAATCTGTTTCTGGTAATTTCTTCAGGTACTCTCACACCTTTTTGCGCTGAAGCATGGTACTATCGATTGCACTACTAGGCCTTCAGTCAAAATATTCTCTAATATATAACTTTTTCTAAAACTGTCCAATTAATGAACTTTTTGCAGAGTTAAAAATAGTCTCGGGCTTTAATTTCTTTTTCTTTGATAGGAACATGCACTTTATTGATAAACATAAACTAAACTATTACATAGAGGGAATAGAACGTGTAGTTATTGTTCCTATTAAGTCTGAAGTAAGTGCGATAAAATAAAGAGGGGGGGTTATCAAAAAACACAATGCCTTGTTGTTGATCAGCAGTTAGGTCTTTTTCAAAACATGCCAAAGCATCTGCGCGCAATTCCCCTCTCTAAATTTGTGTTGGATCTCTGGCAAGAATAGCTTACGAAGCATCAACTTGCAATCGTTAAAAATATGTGAGTACTTTAAGTTTCTAGTTGGCGTGAGTGTTATCAGTATCTGTGAGTTAGTTTCCACTGTGAGTGGTGTGAAGTTGTTTTCAATAGCAAATTGTATTACGTAGAATAGGGCTAATAGTTTGGTTGCAACACAGTAGTGTGCTATAGCTGTTTTGGATAGCCGGCAATCCAAGATCCATTAGAGTCCCTAAATTTTGAATCCACTTCTTAGTGTTCGAAAAAACAAATATATCAAGTAGAGTAAGGTGAAAGAGTAATTTCTTTGCTTTTCTTTGCATCGGATATCAGGAACCAAATGAATTTCTTTGAAGAAATTACTATGAAACACTGCTTCAGGGAATGCAATAAGGTAGTGGATCACTTGGCTAACTTTTTCTTGAACTGGAATGACATTACTTGGTTCAACAATTTCCACCAACTTCCCAGGGAGGCTAGAGGAGAAGTAAACATGGACAAACTCCAGTTTCCTTCTTTTCGCAGCAAAACCATGAAGAAGAACTTATTTTTGGATCGACAACTACTCAGGATGTACCATTTTGATGTCCCCTAATAATATGTTAGCTTCATTTGGGAGGACTCTCACTTAGAGAATATGTTCCCACTAAATTTTTGTGATTTGAAATAGATGTAAAGGGGGAGCTTGTTCCTTTCTATTAAACATAAGATATCTGTTATGCAATATCCCACTTTTACAATGCTTTCATATTTATAAAACCTTATCCATACTCGATGGAGGTGGATAATTAATTTTAAAAAAAAAAGGAAAAGTGCAAGTCACTCCCAAACTAAATAAAATTTCCTTCAACCATTTCACCTCACATATTATTATTGTCATAGAATGAGATTCAGCCTCCACAGATGATCGAGAGACGGTATATTGTTTCTTAGTCTTCCAAGATATGTGTGAGTCACCCAACGAGATAAACCAACCTGTAAGAGAGCGTCGAGTCAAGGGATAACCAGCCTAATCGGAGTTATACCATCCATAGAGACGTAGATCATATTTGCTTCTCAATAAAGTACCTTGTCCCGGATGCCCTTTCAAGTAGCGAACAACCCCTAATGTTGCATGCCAATGCTCCTCTTATGGTTGGTGCATGAACTAAGATAAAATATAAATATTATAGGATAATTCCGACCAAGTAAAGCACAGATAAATAAGTCAGACTATCAAATGATAATTGCGCTCGGGGTCATCAAACGCCTGTCTACCTGCCAATGCAAGCCGATGATTTTGTTCCAACAGCATTCCCACAGGCTTAGCACCTAATAACCTAACCTATGACAAGGAATATTTTTGTTGGCTCAAGAAGATGCCTTCCGAATGTTTGGAGACTTCCACTCCCAGAAAATATTTTAATTTGCCCAAATCCTTCATGTGAAAGCATTTTCCATAATATGTTTTGAACTCACAAATAGCCTTAGGCTCATTGCCAAAGATAATTAGATCATTGACATACACAAGGACATTTACTCAAACTTCACCTTTTTGAAGAGTAAAAAGAGAGGAATTAGAATATGAAAACTTGAACCCATAGTCCTCTAAGGCAGCCTACAACTTAGTAAATTAACACCTCGGCGCTTGCTTTAACCCATAAAGGAACTTCTGAAGTCTGCACACTTTTTCTGGACTTGCAACTCAAAACCCAGGAGGCAATTTTTATATACACATTCTCCTGAAGATCCCCATGCAGGAAGGAATTATGTAAATCCATTTGATGTAACTCCCAATTCTTTGCCTTTGCTATAGCAAAAATGTACAGACTGTCACTATCTTTGCCACTATGGAAAATGTTTCATTATAGTTGATCTCCCCTACTTGATGATTCCCGAGAATAACTAGTCGGGTCTTGTTTCGCTCAAGTGTTCCATCAGAGTTGTACTTTATCTTGTAAATCCACCTATAACTGAGAGACTTTTTGTTAGGAGGCAGATCCTCTATTACCCATGTTTCGTTATTCTCCAGCGCCTGTATTTCTAATCTAATTACTTCTCTCCACTTGCCATCTTTCATGGCCTCAGAGAAATAGGCGGTTCATGTGCTGCAGTGATTGCTGCAAAGAAAGAACATTCTTGTACAAAGAATTTATCGCAATTCACATATTGTGTTAAAGGATAAGACATACCTAAGTGATGCTCTGAAGTAGATGGAGGACAAGATAAACTTAATTTCTAGACAACATTAGTAACATAATTACGCAATCGGACCGTTGTATATTTTTGGTGGTGTCCGCATCCCAACTGCTCCTCCTTTATTATTTCATCTTCCACAGTTATGGCCCCTACCTCCAAGTGAAAAGTTTCGTTTATCTCGACTTCGTGATGATCCTCCTTCACTTCTCCCTTCCTTCAAACTCCTCATTCCTCTCATAGTTCCTCCACAAACATTTCTTTATTTTTTGTCCCTTCTAGTGTTATGTGTTGATGAAGTGAAAGGGAGTTCAGTTTCATAGAAATCAACGTCTTGTGAAACAAGATATTCTTTGTTCTCTAAATCATATACCTCCACCATTTCTTTCCATCGGGATATCCCACGAAGACCCACACCTAAATCATCTACTCAAAAACTTATCACCCTTCTTCCCTAAGGTTCGAGCTAACATAGGGATCCAAATATTTGAAGATATCCACACCCAGGCAATCGACCATATAATAATTCATAAGGTGTCTTTCCATGCAAGATTGAAGATGGAGTTTGATTAATCAAGTGTCAAGTCGTCAAAACACATTCCCCCAAAAAATCAATTGGCAAGTTACCTTGAAAGTGCAAGGCCCGGGCTACATTCAAGATATGATGATGCTTTTTTTCCACTCTTCCATTCTATTGGGGTGTTCCTGTACACAAAGCTTGAAAAATAATCTCACATTCAAGAAAATAATTTCTCATACATGTAAACTCTATTCCATTACTACTCTTGAAGGTTTTAACTCACTTATTGAATTGTCGGTCTATCATAGCAAAGAAATTCTTCATATTTTATATTACTTCTTTCTTATTAATTAATAAAAAATTCACACAACACGCGAGTAATCATCTACAATAGTAAAAAATATTATGCAGCACAAGATAAAGTTGTTCGATAAAGTCCCCACAAATCATAATGAATCAACTCAAAAATGCTAAAAGCTCTATGATTACTTAAAGGAAATTTGTCTCTTGTTTATTTAGCCTGATGATATACATTATAACTTTTATTCAGAACATCACTATTTTTTCTAAAATTTACTACATGAATTAACTTGGTCGCTTGTAGAGAGGGATGACCCAAACTCCTGTGCCAAAGATCCAGTAAACCCACATCACTAACCTTTAGAGCACATACCTTCTGTTTGTTCCAAAAATAGTAGAGTCCATCTTTCCTCTCACCAGCTCCAATCAGCATCCTTGAGGTGTGGTCCTGTATAATACATAAGAGTTTAGTGAAAATGATCAAACAATCTGAGTAATCAATTAATTGAGATACATAAATCAAGTTGCATATTAAGCCGGGCAAATAAAGAACATTTTGTAGGATAAAATTATCTTCAAGTTTCGTTGAACTCTCGCTGTCTCTACAACATTACTTCAATCAGGCAAACTAACAGGATGTCGATCAATTTTTCGCACATTATATAATAATTTTAAATATTTTGTCATACATAATTTTGCTTGCTACTCATCTTCTTATTCGAACTTATCTATTGGCTATTCAACATAACAATCAATGTCTGCCATTGCTCATTGATCAACCCCGGAGGCCCAACTTTTTCGGCCCCCATCACAGCTGCGGAGACGCCACCTCCCGTGACCTGTGCAATATTCACGTGATACGTAGTGCCATGTTTGCGGACTTCATTATTACACCCATCTAATGTTGTTGTTGTCCTCTACCGCATCTACAGCTGGAAGCAATTTTGTGAATGATGTCCAGTTTGCTAGCAGTACGAGCATGTGCTTTTTGTCCTTCACTTCATTCTGACCTCTATAAGGGATGTCCCCTGTACAACAAAGACCATAACGTTGCCACGTTCATCTTTCCCTCGAGCCATCATCTTCACACGTTCATCTTATACCAATTTAGAGTAAACTCAATTCAAAGTTGGCAACGGATCTTAAGCGAGGAAGTTCGACCTCACTGTTCCATACAATATTCTTCCTAGAGTTTTGTTAATTTTCCATAATAATTAACTATGGTCATGCCCTATGTTTGCACTCCACAAGTTTGGCCGTCAACTATTGTATTCTTGGATGATTAGAGACCGGAAAACGTTCTTTAATACCGGTCCATAATTTTCAGCAACTTCCGAATCCAAGAAACAAACAACGAGTTGATAGTCCACTAGTCTTCAAGATCTAGAGACTTCTTATCTGGTCTCCTGATTGTTCTGTCAATAAATTCGAACTTCTTCCTTGCTCTCAAGGCGGTCCTCATGGACCTTGCCCATTCATTTTTCTCCTCAGGATTGTCATTAGATATTATATCGTATAGAGGGATGATCTTTTGTTTGTTTATTTTATCACTACACCGCTCCCGCCAGTAGCGGCGACGTCTTTACCAGTGTTCCATGTGATTGGTACGTCACTCCTAGTTCCTTATGGTTTGGCTCGACCTTGGTTCTGATACCATGCCAAACACACAAGCATATGGTAGCTAAGTGGAAGAGAAGGACTTGCATTCTTCTATTGATTAACAAGAATATATATACAATTCAAGTAGTAAATCCTAGTCCTAATAAAATCAAAAACTAGTCCTAATAAATATAGAAAAGAAATTAACTCTCCTAGTCCTGAACTACAATATATTTACTATCCATATATACACCCAAATACACACACTTTAATAAGAAGTCAGATCAACCTCTTTTCAGCTTTACAAGGATAATGAAGAATGTGGATCCATTAAACTTGGCCTCACTTTCTCTCGCGAGGAGGTAATAGGTTTTTCAGTAACAAAATATACGTAAAAAATCAATTACCATCAGTAAATTATCGCGACTTATCTATCACATGTTTATTCAAAGTTATCAATATATTAATGTTTATTATATAAAATAACTATGCTAATATTTTAAGTGATTTGATTCTACGAATATTTTTTCATATCGTTGGTTCCTGAAACTTAAATTCTTCTATCAGTAGGGTGATCAAGAATGTTTTTCCCCTTATTTGCAGAGGGATGAATCTAATGATAATTACTAATTTCTATTGTCCACCCCAGGAGTTTGAATTTTATGGAAGGGTCGTTTGGTTACCCGTACTAAAGAAATAGTCGTAGGAATGAAGTCTCTAATAATAGGGAATTATTTTTTTTTCTGTACGATTAATATATACGCATTTTATGCGATGGCTTTTGCATTATTTTGTACTGAATTTTGCATGTAATAAAGTCGCACACATGTTATTAGAAGTATCATTTGTATTGATTTTCAATTAGTAGTTGACTATTGTAACTTGTTAATTATCTCGTGTTTGCTTATATTGCTTGTAAACTTTATTTTGAAATTATAAGTCAAAAGGGAACCTCATTCTAAATACTTTCTAAACAGTGTTCTATATCATAAGATGGTTATAGAGTCGTGAGTGTACAAATTAAAGTCTCACATTTATAGCTGAAAAGATTGGGAACAAACATACAGTTAAGTGTAGAGATATCTTAATAGTGTGAAACATTTTGAGGAAAACCGTGCATGCTTGAGCCAAAGTAGACAATATCACACAATGTTAAGAGTACCCTTGGGCCGGTTTAGCCAACAACTAGTATCAGAGCCCAGGTTTGTCGGGACGAATAAGGCGATAACAGAGTGATGGCATCATGTGGAGCTCAAAAATTAACCGTGTATGGTGGTAATGAGCCACGTGGAACTTATTTCGAGGAAGAGACCTGTGTATTATGATAGTAGGCCACATAAAACTTAATTCGAGGGAGGGATTGTTAGGCATGCGAACACTCGAAGGAGAAACTCGTGGATCATAATAGTGGGCCACGTGGAACTTGGTAAGGATCTCTTATGAGACATATTTCGGAAAAATCATACAGACTTAGTTTAAAACAAACAATATTATATCATATTAAGGGTACCTCTTGACTTGTCTAGCCAAACCGTTATAAAGATATATTATAGTAGTAAAATTTTTAATAACATCTGACAATAAACCACGAAGGTTATATTTGCTAAGAACAATTTTGAATCATCTTTATACAATAAAAAAATGGCAAGATCTAAAATTTGATGGATTCATCACCGGCATCCGTCTTTTATGCCACCAAGCGACTGAAAGCTAATGTGTCTAACCCATTCGAAGTCAATAAAACATAACAAGATATCCAAACAAAAATCCAATCTGAAAAAGAAAACATATAATGATAAATATTGTTGGCCAAAGTGAAGTTTATTTTGATGATTGAAAAAGGAACTAAAGTATGAACTAGGTCCATACACAGTGTACACAGACACGGGCAGTTTCGAGCATAAGGGATGCACGTGAAGGAGATAAGCTTAAGTTGAAGATAACTAGAACTCTTCTACCAAGGAAGAATATAGCATTAGAACTCTAGTTATTTCCTATTCTACTAACTTTATAAATTGCAGGATGTTCTCATTTTACAGGTACGCACAAACGCTGAAGTTAAACTTAAGTTGAGAGCAAAATGGCAAGGCATTTTGCAAGCAATTCTTGTGTGATTCAAGTGTGTGAACCTGAAGCTACATGAACCTGATAGAAGAACTAGTTCCAAGTGTCTGTTTTTTATTGTAGTTTCATTATAGTAGGTGTTTTCAAATTGTACCTTTCAGCTTTATCTGGAGGCAATTGTATTAGGTACTCTGAGTATTCAAGTTAGAGTTAACTTGAAGTTGTCGCAACAGTTAGAGGTTGGTTGCCACAACGGGATTAGAGGTAATCCTTAGGTTTATAAAGAGTTTTTAAAATGTTGTTTTGGCTCAATGATTTAGTGAAGTTTTAGAAAAAATCCTATTGAGTAGTAGGTCGTGGTTTTTTCACCTTTTGAGTCGGGTATTTTCCACGTAAAAATACTTGTGTTCTTTTCTTTCCACATTTACTATTTTCATAACAGTAGTATAAGGAACACATAGAAGAACCAGGTCCTTCTATAATCAGTGCACGTGAAAATTGGACACCACACAAATCACCCCCCTTGTTGTGTGGTATTGAAGTATAAAATAGGTATCAGAGCGGATTCACCTTGAAGAGGCTTACACCTTTGGAGAAGATCAACATGAGTGCACTACCTGAAAACTGGGAAGGGCAATCCACTGCTAGGCCACCACTCTTTAATGTCCAGTATTACTCTTGGTGAAAAAACAGGATGAGAGATCACATTATAAGATAGGTCTATGAGCTTTGGGACATTGTCATCGATGGTCCAATGGCTACCTTGAAGAAAAATGCTGAAGGAGTATACGTGTCAAAGAAAAGAGCGGATTGCACTGCTGAGGACTTGAAGAAATGGGAGAAGAATGCTAAAGCCAAGAAATGGCTTGTTTGTGGACTTGATCCAGATGAGTACAGCAGAATCCAAAGTTGTACCACTGCTAAGCATATTTGGGACACATTGCAAGTGGCTCATGAAGGAACACCTCAGGTGAAGAGATCCAGAGGAACTCTATTGTATTCTCAATATGAGAACTTTGCTCTGAAGGAAGGAGAAACGATTCAAGAGATATACACAAGGTTCACTACATTAACAAATGAGCTAAAGTCTTTTGGAAGGATTATTTTTGAAGAAGATAGAGTCGAGAAGATACTGAGAGCAAAATAACTGTCATTTAGGAATCAAAGAATATTGCCACTCTCTCAGTGGATGAATTAATTGGAAATCTCACTGCTTATGAACTTAGAAGACAAACCATGAAAATGGATATACCTAAGAAGGAATAGAGCTTGGCACTCAGAATCACTGAAGGTTCTGTTCTAGAAGATGATGAAATGGCTATGATCACCAAGGACTTCAAGAAGTACCTGAGGAGAGGAAAAGGTTCTTCAAGAAGTGGAAGCTATAGCAAGTCAAAAGCTCCTGAGAAGCAAACCAATGATGGCTTCTATAAGTGTAGAAAGACTGATCACCACATCAAGAACTGTCCTTTATAGGAAATTGAATGGAATAAGGAAAGAGCATAACGAAGGAACATGAAGAAGGAATAGGTTCAACCCAAGAAAAGCAATAACAAAGGATCAACCAAGGCTATGATCGCTGCTTGGGGAGAAAGCTCAGATGATGATGATGAGGATGAACAAGCACTTATGGCTATTGGAGAATCTGATGAAGAAACTGAGGTAAGTGTAATTCATCTCAAAGACAAGATTAAATAATTGTCTGAAGAAAAGTTATCTGAGTTACTACTAGAACTAGTTGATGAATCTGAGGATGTAAACAACGAAAAGGAATTGGTGTCTAAAGATTGTGTGATTTTGAAGGCTAAGTGCAAAAACCTGGAACTTAGGATTAGTGAAACTTTAAGTAAAATTACTGTGTTGAAGAACCAGATTCATGCACTTGACTTAAGTGTCCTAGAGCTTAGATCTGTAAATCTAAAACTGAAATTAGGAACAGGTAAAAAGACAGGTGATCACACACAACTCACTTTAGAAAAAAATGTAGGAAAAATAAAAGATGAGTTGTACAAAAGGGATGAGTAGGTAAGAATCCTA